CCTACCCCACATCGAAATTTACAAAAAAGTGATAGTGCAAACAGAATTTATTAATAAAATATTGCTCGGAAATTTGAAACATTTATTTTATATTTAAGTTTAATCCTTTGATTAGACGTGTATGTAAAAGTTTTTAGTGTACGTATATACAAAAGGTAAATGTATCTGTTCAAATGAACACCACTAATATTTCCTGCAAACATACATCGATTTACATCTTTTATCTCGCCTCCGACACCGAATTGTTTTCGTACAAAATTACGCAAAAAAGCTTTCAATTTCTTACTCGTTCGTTTTTAGGTTTGCCATTGATACGAATTTCGAAAGTTCGAAAATACGATACGGATTTCAGCGTACTATTTCTACGATTCGTAGCAAAATCTGAATACGTAAGAGTTGCAGAATAGGGGTGACAGTTTTTTTCACCTCTTCGAAAACTATCGTTACAGGGGTGGTTTTACCCCTTTTTGAAACATCTTCGATAGTAAGTTCAGTTAGCCTTAATGAGATAAACTTGTGTAGCCATAAATTAACGGTACCGAAATTCCAAATTATTATCCCATTTCTTTTTAAACAGATTCTTGTGAGTATTAATTTTGAGTAAATTGGCGTCCTTAAATTTCGAAATATCGAAGTTTCCGTATTTCTGAAATTTACCGTTATATGAAAAATGTACGTATTTATTTTTGTCCGATTCCAGACATTTTGAACGTCTTGCTTCTATATGTCAAGTTCAATATTTGTACCGAATTCGGTACAAATTGATAGAATGGTTACCGAAAAACATTAAGTGTGCGGTGCCATGCCAGTTTTCCAAAAAAAATTTATAATCGTATTGCTAAACAATTATTCCAAACACCAATTTTGAGTAAATCAGCTTCAGTGGTTACTGATTTATCGAAAATTTCGTATTTCTCCATATTACCGTTATATGGGAAGTGGGCGTGGTTACTGTCCGATTTCGCCCATTTTCAATACCAACCTACCTTGAATTAACGGAAACCTACATACCAAATTTCGTTGAGATATCTCAATTTTTGCTCGAGTTATCGTGTACACGGACGGACGGACAGACGGACGGACAGACAGACATGGCTGAATCGATTTCTCTATTCATTCTGAGCATATATGTATACATTTGTCTATATCTATCTCGATTCGTTTTGGCTGTTACAAACAACCGTTATGTGAACAAAATTAATATACCCTTGTGCACAAGTGCGCTCGGGTATAAAAACTGCTTTATTATTAAAAAATCTACAAATTGTTTTGCTAATTAAACAATTTAATTTTGCTTCATTTTTAATGTTGCNCCATATAACGGTAATTTAGAGAACTACAAAATCTTCGATAAATCAGTAAATATTAAAGCAAATTTATTCAAAATTGATGCTTGCAACAATTCTTTACCAAGAAATACGTTTATGGTAAAATTTTGTAAAATAGGCGTGGTACCGCCCACTTATGATCACATATATGTATATCGGTAACCGTTCCACCAATTTGTACCAAACTCGGTATTTTTATTGTGCTTGGCAAATAAAAGCAAAACGTTGAAAATTATTGAAATCGGACCAAAATGACGGCCGCTTTTTATATAACGGTAAATTTCAGAAATGCTTGAAACTTCAATAATTCGTAATTTAAGGACTCTAATTTACTCAAAATCTATACATCCCGGCTTACCATCTGGCGGTAGCTTTCGGAAAGGTGAAAAAACATATATTTAATACTTGCGCCGGGTATTTAATGTTCGGCTCCGCCCGAACTTAGACTTTCTCACTTGTTTTATTTTAATTTTAATTAATATCTGATTTAATAACACAGGTCTATACATATGTTCCGCCCGAATATTTTTTTGCTGTACTCATCGTCGTACCTACCGCAATATTTGTACGTACATATTAGGGTAGCCCTTATTTTAATTTATCGGATTTCGTTAGGTCTTACCCCCTGGATTGGTGAATATTTATGAAAAAATATGTTATCCAAAAGTTCAGGTCAACGGGAGAACGTTGAGGCGAACGTTGTGACATAGACATATCCAAAAGGGGAAATATAATATAATTTTTATAAAATTATTCTAATATTATGTGCACTAACAGTGTTAAAGAAAATATACATAACAACTAGTCGATGAAATACATCTCAAGTTTAGCTTGCCTTGAAGTTCTTCGGCTAAAACGCTCACGATATGTTCCTATGCCCACTTAGTTGCCCAATCAGTAGAAGGAAATTCAATATAATTACGACACCATGCATCAAAATTGTGTGCACTGTTGTTGCCGTTGGATGCCAGGGATAAAGGCTGACACACAACCATATATCTATTTTAAATCCACTGGATACTGTTTGAAAGTTTTTTTAACCAGACTTTTTCGGATTTTTCGGAAAGATTGGTGCAGCTTTTTTCTTCTCGAGGCTGGACAGCTGGTTTGGTTTGAAACATATTGTTTCACATTATTGAACTTGCTTGGCATTAACTTAGAAAGGATTTTAAATAATATTTTACACAAATCCGGATTTTGAATGGAAAAATGGGTTCCGTCTCGGGTAAAAGTTATCATTTTTGAAACAAAGAAAAAATGCAGATGCTATTTCGTATTATCTTGCATTTAGTTGGAATTTTTCTTAAAACACTTCCACGTGGGACATACTTTTGATAAAATAATAGAAAACCGGGCCTGATAAAAATTAATAAGTTCACATTAAAACATATTTATCTCAAAAATGTGTAAAGAGCTTGTGCAAATGTTTTAAGCTTACTAATTTACATATAAATCCTCGCGATTATAATTAAAAAAGATTCAGGAAAAGAACCTTGCGCATTTTGGGGAAACACGAATTGAAATTTCACCATGAAAAAATTTGTTAACTACAAATTATTCGTTATATCTCAGAAACCAGTGAAACTATGCCATGATGAAAAACTGTAGAACCATCAACACACATTGCTTTTTCAACAGCCAAAAACCACATCTCACAAAATACAATACAAAAAAAAATACAAATTTAGCACAACTGATTTTGTTTCTCTTGCGATAAGGCAAATTCATTTCGAAATAAAAAAATTTTTAAATAGGATATAGCTTTTCCCCACTTTACCCTTAAAATAAATAAGCAAAAACAACAAAGCTAAATTCGGTTACTTTTTGACCGACTTCACAAAAAGGAGAAAGTTATCAATTCGTCGGAATATTTTTTATTATTTTTTGTTTTTATGTTACCGCATAACTTTGGACCACGTTAACCGACTTCAATAGTTCTGTTTCTAAAGGAAAGGTGCTACCTCACAGGTGGTCCATATTAATTTGGTTTAAATTAAGAGTTGAAGTCGGTTTTGTTTTTTGCTTAAAAATTACTTGTTTATTATTTCAAATATAATTGCCACAACTAAATAAGTTTTGTTTCAGTTACATTTTTATTATCGTAACGCTCAACGCGCTAATTAGGGATGGCTGTAAGGCTTAACTTTAAAATCGAATTTAAAGATAGTTTGCATTTTTCTTGCATGATTCAAACAAGCGCAGTTACAGTTTCACTTAAAAAAACACATTGCAAAAATTTTAACTGTTCAAAAAGGTGGCTGCTACGCCTCTCCAATCAAATAGACTGAAAGAGTATAATCATTACTCACATTATTTTATTTCTAAATAAATACCTTTAAAATTATGAACAAGACGTTAAGGGAGGTTCCATGGGAAACTGAACCTCAGTGCAAAAACTATTTTCTTTATAAAACTAACAAAGGTGTGGATAAGACATTTGCAAAAATCTTGAATCAACCAAAAAATAACACATTTTTACGTTTTGAAATCAAGTTCTAAATAATTTTTTTTGAGCGAGTTTAAAAGGGGTTTTGTTGAAGTACTGTCAAATAATTTGCGATTCATAATTCAAGTGTTTGGTAAGAAAAATATATATAGTAGAACTAGGAAATTTAGAGTACTTTTTCAAAAAAATCAGAAAAAATATAGCATACTTCAAATATATATAGTATTTTTTTTTAAGAAAAATTAAAAATGCTTTTTAAGTGTACATCTTTTTTCTTTCTTATGCATTTCCTCTATACATGCTTTATCGCTATCAATATTTAAATTAATATAAATCAAAAGTTCATTTTTTATTACCCCAAAAATAGACCCAAAAAATAGTACAATACTATATATTATTGTACGGGTGGCACCCTAAGTAGAACTCATCTGCTTTTAATAAAATTGTGTTATATATTAAATTGTGCGAGTGCTTTATCTACAATATGAGTTATTATTAAGCAGCATTGGCCTTGTCCCACACGTGACAAAAAAGTTAAAAGTTGTTATATTTAATTACAGAAGTTGAAGTTGTGTTAGCGCGGATTAAGTTGATTAAGTTATTATGATTAGTTAATGCAGTTTTATAGCAAATTAAATTTAAAAATTTCAACACGCTGGGAAATTACGTTGATTTTTAATAAATTTGGCTGACGGTGCTAGGAATTTTCTTCTATATAAAAGCCACTATCCTAACTAAGATAAAACGTGGATAAATTGAACCCCTACTTGGCTACTTATAAATAACTAACCTTTATTATTGACCACACTAAAAGCTCCTCTTCATGTATAAATTCGTATGTGTCCCACCCGTGACTAGAGGAATTTCGGATTTCGGATTCGGTCGGCACGCCTTAACTTTATCCGATTGACCTAAAATTTAGGATAACACATTTTTTCATGAATATTCACCAATCTGGGGGATGCGACAGAACAAAAATTAAAATTGTGCGATATGGATAAGGGCCACCCTAGTACATATTATCTGTTTATCAAATATCTCTCAATGTAGAATATCTAAAATAAAACACAAATATATTTACATATGTACATAAATACATACATATGTATGTATACGAGTGTGTAGTATACTAACAGGGTAGTTGACTCAAGAAAGAGCAAATCGACGCTCACACCTAAGCCGGTGAATGAGCTGCTGCTATGTTTGCATTTTGAGAATACCCGCTTTGACCACAGCATGCTCTGCTGAGTTGGCTAAAGAGTCATACCAACATTCGTTCACTTATTGATTTTTCCCGAAAATAAATAGCCATAGCGCAGCAGTCAACAAATAACAGTCACACTTGCATCATTCACCAGTCGCAGTCAAAAATCATAATATTACTTCTTCACAATTATATTTAATGTGAGACATCAAAGCGAGCAGTAAAAGTTTTAAATGATAGTGCCAAAGGAGTTTTTATTAAAAAAAAAAATACACAACTTTTGAGCTATAAAGCTTGCAGTATAATTTAACAAATCATATAACTTTTGAGCAATAAAGTTTGCAGTTGAACATGGAGTAATTTATCAAAGCATCTATTAAACAAATTTGAGTTGTACAGCTTCTGTCAACGAAATAAATAAAGTAAATACATATGTTTACGCTTTTGTAATATAATACATAAAGAAAAATATATTTAAAAATATAAAGACAAATATTTCCAGTGATTTAGAACATAAACGGAAACTTTAAGACAGTGCTAAGAGCTATTTACCAGATTTAACGCAGAAAGTGAAGTATAGAAGAAACAAACGCCAAATTCCTAAAATATTGGTTGTGCTCGCCTGAAGTATTATGAAATGAATTCTATGCGATTTATGAAGTCAATTGCATGCAAAATGTAAATCCCAGACAAATGCACATACATGCATACATATCGTTCCTTAGTTAACAAATGCCCTAACCAGCAAATTTTCTATTTTACAGAAGAAAAAACATTATAAAAAGTAAATCAAAACCTGCAGATGGGGTTTTTAAAACTGGCAGAACCCCGTTGTTTTTAGTACTAACACCTTCAAATTTTTAGTGAAGGTGTACTTTAATATATATATCGTACCAAAATCTGTGAAAAACGGAGTTATGAAAAATGAGGTAACGATGTGTACTACCCAGACCACAATCAGTTCGTACGCCAGAACACTTTTTAATATTTGTACATGAAACTTATATATGTGCAATGTAGTATATATTATAATACTTCTACCAAAGTATTTCGGAAAAATATTAAGATTTACGTCAGCTGGACTGATTGTAAAATGCATACCTCTAAAAATTGAGTTTTTCATGAACAAAAATATTTTCTAAAAGGATTTTTTGGAAAAAATATCCTCAGATGACAAAACAGTTTAAGCCTAAAAAACCTACATAAAAATATTAAAAATTTGTATCAACGCAATCGTAATAATGAGATTTTTGATGCTGTTTTTCAACTTTTTTCAATGATTTGTGTAAGAAAAACTTGAATAACTGCTCCAAAACTTTACCAATATAGACTTATGAGGTATCAGTTTTCACGCCCTTTTTATTTCACTTATTTTTGGAGGTAATTTCAAATCGGTCCAGCTCACGTAAATCTTAATATTTTTGCCAGATATTTTGGTGAAAGTCTTAAAATATAATATATTCTATAATTCCAGTGGAAAAACAGTGCCGATTTTTTTCCTTTTAATATTTTTAGTATCTGTACCAACTTTCAGTTCTCTACTGCAAGCAATACAGGGCTACTGGATCGCTGTAAAACTGGCAAAAATATTGGTGGTTTTTTTTTAATGTACTGTTGCCATGACAACTGAAGCTTGTGATATTAGTTGCGTTCCCTAACTCGCAAAAAGTTGCAAGAATTTACAGTTGGGTTAAAATTTGGGGAACGCAACTATTTTTTAGATAATTTAAATTTGAAATGTTCTTAGGTTACTTAACCAATTGTTTGATTAATATATGTACCCAATACTTCTAGAGTAAAATATGAGCTGCATGAGCATCCTCTAAATTTATACTTAGAAACGTAACGTTTGGTACCAGCACCTCTTTCGGCAAGAGGAAAAATTTTGGAAGGTGCCCCAAACCTTATCTTGGAAAATTTTTATTTTGACCACTCTAATGTACATACATTCACAGCAATAAAATGTGCACGGTTGCTATAGCAGCCAGCATAAACTTTGCAAATGCAATTCCAACTGCAAATCCCAGACCATTTCCACAACATCCTGAACAGCCCTTTTGTTTCACACTTTGTCACGTCGCCTTTTGTCTTAATAACATCTTTCATCCTTTTTCGCTAATTTCCCATTAAAATTAGTGAAAAGGATGAAATATTTTCTTTAAGATGCTAGGAATTGAATTGGACTGCATTTTATAAGAGTGTTGAAAGATCTCGCTAACTATGTTGTTGTTTTTGTGGTTTTTTTTGCCGCTTACTCTAAAGGCCTGTATGCAGCTCTCAAGAAAACGGCAAGAAAAATGTTCCATTATTTCGTGTGTGTGTCCAAGGAATTTTGACATTTTTGATACTTCACAGCCTATTGCCTCACTCTTTCCTCAAGAAATAATGGAACGGGCATATATTTCTGTTGCGAACCTGGGTTGCCTTGTGCTCTTCTTTCACAAAAAACTTTAGAAAGCCGTAGTAGAAAGCGTAGTAAATTTCTTAAGAAATGCGTACTGCCTTAAGGAAATTTGACTCAAGAAAATTTCTTAGCCTTTTCTTGTATGTCATTTTATATGGAGTTTTTGCTTTTCTTGAGAGCTGCATACGGGCCTTAAGAAACCACATTTCAAGCTTTGGGAAATTGACAAACTTTGTATCAAAACCTTTGATTTATTAAAATATACATATGTAAATATTAAAAGTGCTAGGCATACGAACTGATTGTGGTACGGGTAGTACGTACGATGGGTTTCTGTTTATCGCGTTCCTTGACTTTGGGAAACAGGAGAATCATCTTTTTGAATGATTATGATGAGATATTTTTAATGTACAAGTACAATTGAATGTTGTCCTGTTGTTGTGACCTCATTCCACCGTCACATCAACGTCCTTGAGTTCCTTTAAACCGCACAATGCAATCATTCTGAATATATGAAATTAAATGTGATATTATTTTTCCTTTTCGATATATTCCCGTCAATCCTATTACATTTTTCAGATATTTCATAAAGTTTACATATTTACACCATGATGTAATATTTTTATCATGATTTACACCATCAAAATAATTCTTGTATAGATCCTCAAAATACCCCGCAAACATATTCTGAGCATTCAGAATATATGAGTCCGAAAATAGTCCCAGATAGGTAAGAAATATGAGCTTCAAAAATGATAAATGTGTGACTCTCAAATGAATCTTTTGGGATTCATATGTGATCCAAGCTATGAGCCAGCACCTTGCGCTAATATAAAAACAAAGATTCGATAAACTTGTTTATACAGAAATTGAAAATAATTATAAAACAAACGAAGAAAAAAGTTTAAGTTCGGGCGAAGTCGAACATTAAATACTCGGCGCAAGTACCGCTACATGGTATCAGTTTTGAGTAAATTAGCGTCCTTAAATTTCGAAAAATGTAGTTCAAGCGTTTCTGAAATTTACCGTTATATGAAAAGCGGCCGTCATTTTAGTCCGATTTCAATAATTTTCAACGTTTTGCTTTTACGTGGCAAGCACAATAACCATACCGAGTTTGGTACATATTGGTAGAACGGTTACCGAGATACATATATGTGATCATAAGTGCGCGGTGCCACGCCCATTTTCCAAAATTTTATCATAAACGTATTTCTTGGTAAAGAATTGTAGCAAGCANGATGTGGGCGTGGTTATTGTCCGATTTTAGAAATTTTCGGCCATTTGGTATGCTGTAGCAAGGCTAAGAACTAGTGTTGGGAAGTATCGAGTACTTTTGAGGATCGGGTTCCTTGGTATCGATACTTTTAAGGATCGGGTATTTTTCAGAGTACTAAATACTTTCTTTAAATATACACTTGTTGGTAACATTTCAATGATTAGAGTATACATCTGCCAAGCTAGCAACACTTTATTCAAATTAATATATTAATCCCAAATTACGTCAATTGAATGGCTACTTGAAAACTATTGAAACTCCAAATGGAGTACAATCATTTCTACTTAGTACTTTTGAGTTCTGAGTACTTTCGGGTTCTTTTGTGAGTACTGCGTACTTTGGAGTACTCAGTATCGATACTTTTAAAAATCGGGTGCTGTCGATCCGTTTGAGAATCGAGTTCCGAGTACTTTTGGTATCGATACTGCCCAACACTGCCAACAACTGTGCCAAGTTTGGAAGAAATTGGTGCAGCGGTTACCAAGATATACACATGTAACCATAAGTGGGCGTTGCAACGCCCATTTTCCAAAAATGTATAATATTCTTATTTTTCGTCCGAAAATTATTGTAAATATCAATTTTGAGTGAATTATCTTCAGTTGTTACTAAAATATCGCAGTTTTCGCATTTCTGAAAATTACCGTTATATGGGAGGTAGGCGTGGTTATTGTCTGGCTTTGCCCATTTTCAATACCATCCGTCCTATGCCCGAAAGAAGTTTACGTACCAAGTTTCGTTAAGATATCTAAATTTTTGCTCGAGTTATCGTGTGCACAAACGGACGGACGGACGGACAGACAATCACCGCTTCATCGATTTCTCTTTTCATTCTGATCATTTATGTATACATTTGTCTATATCTATCTCGAATCGTTTTGCCTGTTACAAACAACCGTTATGTGAACAAAGTTATAATACCCTTGTGCATAAGTGCGCTCGGGTATAAAAATGTGCTGATAGCGGGTTTTGAAGAATAATGAAAATGTCAGTTCTTTAGATGTAAATGTTATGTTAAACTAAGTTTTTAACACATAAATCATTGGTTTGCAAACTCGTTCCCTTCTATTCCGACGTGTCCAGGTAACCACATAATTTTAATGGTGTTTTTGTGTCGAAAGAGTATTTCACGTGATTTCGAAATTATATGAGAATCATTAGCACTGTTAAAGAGGGCTTCGATCGCTGATTTACTGCTCGTGCGTTTGAGGAAATTTCCTTCATTTTTAGAGGCGAAACGTACAGCTTCTAGCAATTGTAAATGCCGAGCAGTACGCGGGAAAAGCACCGACGACAATTGTAACACCAAGCCCTTTTGTTACCGCAAAAGGACAGCCGGAAACATATCTGAAACCGACTGTGAAAATAAGCTCCCAGGTCATTTATGAGTATAGAACTGGGAAAATGCCCTTGCGGTAGAGTTTTTACTTTAGTAGGCATCGGAGTAGATAGGAGTTTAAATCTTTGATGTAGCTTAATATACGAAATAAAGCTGATTGCTTTCTTCATCGTTTTTTTTTTTTTGTTGAAAGTAGGATTCGACGTGAGAAAATAAAGTCTCATTTGTGCACAATCTTTGGGATGAGTATCTTTGANTGAAAATTACCGTTATATGGGAGGTAGGCGTGGTTATTGTCTGGCTTTGCCCATTTTCAATACCATCCGTCCTATGCCCGAAAGAAGTTTACGTACCAAGTTTCGTTAAGATATCTAAATTTTTGCTCGAGTTATCGTGTGCA